GAGGTGGGGGTGGGGCAGGAGATGGGTGTATCAGAAGGATGCAGAGAGAGGGATATTGGATCTGGAAACAGACCAATTCTGCCTGCTGCTTTGTAATAGCAAAACTTTAAAAAGAAAACCCAGCTATAATACATGTTTAATTTTCAAGCAGGCAAAGGAATGCAATTTCAGAAGGCTCGCTGTAGGATTTCCCTGCTAATTACTAACCAGCAATAAACTTAATTTATTCAGTGAGCTGGGCCCACTGATGTATATTTAAGAATTTGACAAATTATTTTATAACTCTGCTTTTCTTTACAATTTCCTGCTCAGATTCTCCTACGACCCCAGGCATGAAGAGATTTCAGCTCTACAATCCTACACTCACTTACTTGGGAGTAAGCACCTCTGGGACTTCTGGGGAAGAAATGGAGAACTGAAAATGGCTCTTTGTAATGGACAAGGAGGGGACTTGAGATTGCCCACAAGTGCTCCTAACAGTTGCTCCTCACAAGGAGGCCGCAAGATACTGGTCTCCGGCAGTTTAGAGCTCTGGGAGATGAGGGAATAGCCACGTTGCTCAAACCACGGTCGGGACCTTCAAAAAGACACTGGGTTCGCCTGGTTCCTTTTCTAATCACTTTCAGAAATTGCTTGTTAACTGTTTTTCAGCTATTAGGAACCTTTGGATCGACAAATTTTACAGCACCAGGTAAGTTTCCTTCAATCTTCAGTGAAAGAAGTTTTAAATACAAGTTTAAGGATCTTTTTTTCCTTTTGGAATAAACAGCAAAAGGGTCCAGGTGGATTTGAAATAAGATTTTGGAATTAATTATAAGAGGAAGGAAAATGCTTTTGTTTTGAATTCTTAAAAAAAAAAAGATCATGATAGGATGGGATTTTGAAGGTTAGACACTAGAGGGAACAAGAAGGAGTTAAAGATTACAAGTAAAGGAAAAGTACACTTAAATTTGGCTTACTAATACAGAATGGAGCAAAATATTTTAACAGTGGAGATACTGAAGGATATTTTTGAACAATGGACCCAGACTGTGTTTAAAAGATGTTATGAAAGAGGAACAAGTTTTACTGGACAAGATTGAGACTGGTTTGAAAGTGGGTTTAAAAATGATAGGCTACAACAAGAATGATATGGAAAAAGATGCTACACAGGATATACAAAAGAAACTAGTTGTCTTAATAATTAAAACGGATGTACAAATAAAAAACCAAGAGGGTGACCTGGATAATTTTCCTATATTGGATTTACAAAAGAGGCTTGTTAAAGCTTTGAAGAATTTTCTACAACAAGAATGATATGGAAAAAGATGCTACACAGGATATACAAAAGAAACTAGTTGTCTTAATAATTAAAACGGATGTACAAATAAAAAACCAAGAGGGTGACCTGGATAATTTTCCTATATTGGATTTACAAAAGAGGCTTGTTAAAGCTTTGAAGAATTTTGAAGGGATAAAGAAAAAATGAAAAGAAATCCTATTCTAGGACATTATTTGAAGGGACTAAAGATCAAGATTGTTAAAAGTAAAAGGAAGGAATATAAAATTGTTTTATTTGATTAAAATTAAAATAGATATGTTATCATCTCTGGTAACCCTTAATGGATTTTTGCTGTTCAGGATGGAAATGACGAGGTTTTAAGGATTTGTTTGTAGATAAGAGATGGGATATGGGAAGAAGAGATCATTTGTTGTATTTTAAGAGAAGATGGTAAATTACTAAAATTGTTTATACTTGTGATGAAGGGGGAAGTCATTTCTGTATATATTTCTTTTTTTTTTACTATATTCTTTTCTATTTTTTTCTATTTTCTTTTTTTTCCTGCACCTTCTATTTTTATTTTTATTCTTTTATTTTTTTTAGTTTGAATTAGTTTTTTATCATTGTAAGTGTAATTTTTAATAAAATTACTATTAAAAAAAGAGAGTAAGCTCCTTTGAACTCAGTGAGTAAACAGGTATTGGATTACCCTACTAAAAAGAGTGTTGCTTTGGCTACAGTTAGGCAATGGTCTTATTTCACTGGTACAGCCAAGACAGTCCTTTTGGCTAATTTTTCTTATTACCTGTGATGATGTAAATCCAGACATATGGAAAGCAGAAGAAACAAGTGGCAACTCAGCTTTCAGCAACATCTCAACGTAGTGAGCACTGCAAAAGTAGACTGGATGGATGCCAGACACTGCTGTGTCTACTGGCAGGTGTATCTAACCATTGGAAAAACAGCATACAAAATGATTCCTTATTAGACAGCATTTGGAACAGCTTGTTGCTATTGCTCTATAGAATGTCCCAATCCTTGGAGAATGCAAAAGGAGAAATAATAATTTGGGGTCCAGAAAAACAGAAAACTCCAGCACAATACATGAGAAATGTTAGCAACATTTTCCAGCTTCTAATTATTATCGGTACGAGTTCATGAGCATTCTTTCCTTCATTTGATTTTCAATTTACTTTGCAGTAAAGAAATACTTTCATTTACTATAGAGGTAGTTAAGAGGTTGCAAATGAATATGCAAAACAACCACCTATTGCCAGAGGGAAAAAAAGGAAGTAGTTTTGAATGAGCTTTTTGGCAGGGAGAAGGTAAAACACTCCATGCTGTTTTCTACTCCAAATTCAGATAAGCAAAGGCATTAGGACTGTCTTGCATATTATATGCAATTAAGCCTTGAAGCCATTATAATGATGTGTCAGAAAAAGAAATTGAAACAAACATGTGCATATATCAGCTGAGAACTTAATTTTCTTTTTTCCTGATTCCCTCTGTAGTCCCCTGAAGAGCCCAGAGAATGAGCTATCAGACAGGGGAGAATATAGATGGAGGGAGCAGTGGGAATGCATCTCATTTCCTTCCCCCTTGTAGAGAGGAAACTAAGAAGCCAACTGTTAGCCCTTCTCAAGGCCAGAGTGGGACCAGACTGGGTCATTTTGCTGCCCTTAAGCAAATGTATTGCCAGTTCCAAGATGTGTGCCCCTGAATTCCTTGCAAGGTTGCAGATGATGCTACAGCACAATTTTTTACTTGCATGGTTTCATATAAATCAAGACCTACTTTATGGTAAAATCTGGGACCATGGAATTCTGACATATACCTCTGGGATTCCAAGGAGGAGGCTATCCATATGGTAACATGATGTCACTTGTTAACACCAAAGGTCACCTGGAGAAAGTGACCTCTGTCAGTGAAAGTGCAATGGAAGGACAAACTGGCTTTTGCTGAAAACCCCATGGATACGCTAGCATACTCCATGCTTTGGACTGACTTTATGGTGTTTATTGATGATTGGAATGATTACTATTAACATAAGTACAGGTAGTCCTTGAGTTATAATGACAACTGAGACTCAAATTTCCGTCACTAAGTGATGTGGTTGTAAAGCACAATTCACGTCATTGGATTGCTTAGTGACAGAAATTCCTGCAGTCCCCATTGCCATTGTTAAGTGATTGCCTCATTGCAACTTCCTGCCAGCTTCCAACAACCAAAGTCAGTGAGGAAGCTGGCAGGAAGTTGCAAGTCCTAGGTGGTTTGCAAGCAGGCTGGCAGGTAAGTGGCTTGTGCCAGGTGGGAGAGGGTGTGTGAGTGGCCGAGAGGCACAGTGGGGATGGAGGAGGGTGTGCAGGTGGGGGAGACTTACCTAAGTGACTTGTGACCTTCCCTGCTGGCAAATTGCAATCACGTGACCATAGGACACTGCAACCATTGCAAATGCGAGCCAGTTGCCAAGCACCCAGATTGTGATCAAGTGACCCCTGGGTGCTGGGATGGCTGGAACTTCGAGGGCCAGTCATAACCACCATTTGTTCAGTGCCATTGTAATTTTGAATGGTCACTGAACAAAACGTCATAACTCATGGACTACCTGTAAAATGATCTTATGGAAATGGTTTCTCTTCCAGATTGCTAGATTTCTTCCTTTCCTTTTTGCATTCTGAGTATGGTAAAACCTGGGGATACTGAAGAACGTCCTTAATTTTCCAAGTTGGGGCACAGTATATGATAAAATTTGAAACATCACATATTTTGTTCAATGAAACTAATTTAAGAAATGTTACTATTTCAAATGCTAAAATAATAAGGATGAGACATTGACTATTGATTCTGATTTAAATATTTTTGTCCCTGCCCAGCTTTGCTACTATCAAGGACAGAGTCTAGTTTTGGTATAATAAAACAAACATTAATAATCTAAAGAATGAGCTTACACAGAGCAATAGTAATAAAAGGGCACTAAATAGGTCATTCTGCCTACACACAATTTAACACTGCTAATAAAGTGTATCTTACTTCTCATTTTAAAATTCAATAATGCTACAATTGGTATCAGTCTATTTTCCCCTCCTGCTAGAAAATTGAGCTGATGTCAAATCTACACTTTTTGCATGTAGGAAGTTTTTACAGATCAAATCTTCAGTTACAAAGTCCTTAAGTGAGTGCCTTTTTAAAGAGGCTAAATTGATAAACATTTGCTGAAAATGCTCAAAGCAATTTGTCAAGGTTAAGTCTCTTTTGAAATCTTACAGAATTATGCAGCCGTGGTACCCAAAGAAAGGCTGAAACAAGAAGATAGGAGAACTGGTGGAAAAATGTTAATGTCTTCTCTCGATCTCCCATCATTATTAGAAACACAGAAGATACAAACCAGTCATAGCATGCGTATCCACCCTGATTACCTGTAGGAATAATTAAGGAATCCCAATCTTCTTGTGTTTTTCATTGTAGAAAATTGGGGAACATGACAAAATGTGCAAAAAAAAAAAAAAAAAAAAAGGCTTTTCCAGAGTTTGAACCCCCTGGTTTGAATTTTCAAAGAGCTTTATCTCACTCTCAGAAACAACAATAAAACACTAGTTTTGTTCCAAGTCAAGAGGGCCATTTTGAATGACACCATTTCAAGTGTTCCAGTAGTGTCATTTTAGTAGTAGTGATTGGTTTGATTTTTAATCCCACCCCACCCCCTAGAACAGCCAGTATAGTAGAAATTAATTCCATCTCTGTTACTATTACCCAATACTACGATACGTAACAGGAGAAGAACAAAGAAGTAACATTTACTTAAGCACATGCTGAGGCTGCTGCCACTGCTGCTGAGTCCCTGTTACTGATCCCAATCCCTGATTAGAGATGATACTGAATGTCTGAGCTCAAACATAAAATGTGATGAAGTCAGTTTTTAGAAATTTTACTATAGCAAAGTAATTATTTGCCATTACAAAGTTAAACTTCATTGTTTCTGTTGTGTTTGCTGTTATATTATGTGCAGTGCTCTGTATATATTATATAAGCACTGCTGGTAATGCTGATGAGATTTTCAGGTTGTAAGCTGTAAAAGGCAAAAACGATGTTGCTTTAGTTTACTTGCTTAACTATAATGTACTCTGTTTATTGAATCTTGCTACCCAATTGTCAAATATATAAATATGTACTGTGCTTGCACATAAAGGAAGCATCAAGCCAAAAGTTGCTGTTGCTACTGTTCACAGACTTGGTTCAAGCTCATAATATCATGTGCTCTTCTTTTGGGGATTTCTGTGGCTCTTTGTGTTGGCAGAAGATAAAAAGTGTGCTTAAAGTACTGCTTATATGGGAACTTGAAAAATATTTTCAATTTGTTTTAAATATACATTCTTTGGCCAGTTTTTCTGTAGATTAGGGGGCAGCCAGCAGCCAGTGTGGACTTCCACTCCTCCTTTTTCACCGCCAATAAAAAAACCAAGAACAAATGGCTTGTTTCAAAATTACACTGTTTCCCATGGTAGATTTGAAATTTGAAAGTCTGGTGTATTTGAAAAGCTTCAGGTAATGGTAAATTTGGAACCTGAAACACTTGAGACGTTTCAAGTGGCACCCCATTCTTTCCAATAATGAACACAAATCTGAAACATACATACACATCTATTTTTTACAGAGGAATGGGTGAAAAAAATGCTGTAAAATTAAAGGTTCTAGAGAGTAACTTGGATCAAATGACAATATGATTGTACAACTCTCCCTCCTGGCATGAATATATTTCATAAAAATTAGGTCAATTTTTTTCATGGAGAAAATCTATGTGGTTGCTAGGAACTGAAAATGACTTGATGGCACATAATCAATCAATCAATTAATCAATCAATCAATGTCTATTTTTATTTACTATAACCAGCTGTCTTAAAATTCAAGAAAACAAATGAATTATTTTGACAATTATGCTGACAAAACACTTTGTGAACTTCAGCTTATTATAGCAAAAGGATACGTAATGATGTCCTTAAAAGTACTTCCTGTTGTTTCAAATATTTCTCACAGTATATTAGTACTTGATATAGATCGTTTTCTGCATTTTCTTTCAGCAAATTCAAATGCTTACCGTAGCTTTAAAAGAGATAAACATTTAAGTAGAAGCAAAACACTTTTTAATTATTTTTTTAAACGGAAGGAGGCATATCACTATTAATGTCAACATTTATTGACCACAAGCAGGTTGAGTTAAGAGAAGAGACAATCCATATTATGCTCATAATAACTCAGTCTTGGCACGATCTCTTGGATCTTTTTCAGAACAGTCAGTGCTAAACATAAAGACTCAAGGGCTACCAATAATTCCAGCAGGTTGCCAAACAGAGCAGTAGGGCTAGTAGGGAGGAGAGGGGTTAAAAATGAAGATCAGGCATTTATATGTCAGTTCATCTTACAACCTCTTTGGAAAAATACTTCAAACAGTCTAACGGATTGGTTGCTGGGGTAGATAGAAGGGGGTTGGTCTCTCCAGCAGAGGTGAGGTGAGGTTTAGATTAGATTAGATTAGATTAATTTGATTAGATTAGATTGAGTCTCCCAACTCCATCCTGACTGTATCAGTACCTCAAAGTTATTAATTTAGTTAGCCATTTTCCCCCATAACAGCAACTTTGTGAGGGAAGTTGGGCTGAGAGAGAACGATTGGCCCAAAGTCACTCACTGAGCTTCTGTGGCTTAGCGTTGTCTCCCTAGTCAAGGCAAACACCTTAACCACTACACCATGCTGGCTGTCTCATTTACCTTTCTCTTTCCTCCTTGTGTTCCTTTTAATATATGTTTGATTAAAAAATAAGGAAAAAGCGCATAGTTTATGTTTTATTCCTAATTACAAGAAAAATAGATATTGGCTAAGGCTATGCAAAGTATCCCAAAGGGGAAAATCATCTTAAAGCACCTTGGCACAAATCATGAATCCCTCCTTAAAAGTAATTCTGTTAACTGGAAGTCTTGCAAAGCTGCTTCAAAGGCTGCCTGTTCCTGTATATGCATGAACAGTTGCCTTGCAGGCAGTCCCAACGGAAGGGCTCTTCATATATGCAAATGCAAACAACTGGAGACAGCTTTTGAAGCAGCTGTGTGTATTTTCCAAAGGATACAGCTACTTTAATGCTTCAGTGAGGGGTTCTTTGTGCCAATGTGCTTTGCTAGGTGTCTCTACTGAATTCTTTTATAGACCCAATATTGGCACCAAACATTGTCAACATTCAATGTTTATCTACAGATCCTCCCTGGAAAATACTGGAATATTATTTTATTATATTCAATTTTATACATTATCTGCTTGCATTCATTAATCGTAATACAGTGTACATATTAATATCTGATTAAAGATTTGCTTTAGTTTGGTGCTGTTTTACTATACCATGTTTAACTCAATATTCATTCAAGGAACACTAATCTGCAGACTTATCAGAGGTGCAGGGCTCTGCCCAAATGTTACAAGCATTTATATAGGTCACTGTCATTATCTTTAAAATAATGCTTTTTCACATCAACTCATGGAAATAACAACAAGAAAAGAGAAGCCTATTATAAATATCCAAATGAAATAGTTCAATGAAAGTTACCCGACTGCCATTTTAATGCCAAGCTGCTGAACTGCTGTAAGGTTTTTAATCTCCGTATTTTCGTCAGCTGAAAACAAAAAGAAAAAACATACAGAGGCTATATAGAAATGATCATAATCATTTTAGCTAAAAACATAAGTGCGCTTACCAATGTTCAGCTAAGATCTGTTTAAAAAGGGAAGCAATATATTTTTATATTTTATGCATGAAGTGAAGTGAAAGAAATTTAGTTTTTATTATCACAGTAAAATACACATTTAACTACCTTTGGCCTTACTTTAACAACTGTACTCAGTACAACTTCCAATTTTTAAGTTAGATATAAAGGACTATTAAATCAGTTTACCTCTCCCAGAGTTACTATATAAAACAGTATGAGCAAAACCATTCACAGAAATGAATGTGGAAAACAGTGTTTGGATTATTATTCCAGCCATGTCTTTTGAGCAAATACTTGTATGAACCTCTGCCAAGTTTGGATTTTAAATCACCAGAAGAACCTGAAGAACTCTCATAACTGAGTATACATAATAGGATCCTACGACTGAATCCCTGGTCTGGCTCAGTATGGCAGTACTTATATACAATTTTTAATAACCCCAAAGCAGGTCCAACTGTTTTTTTTTAAATTGATCTTACTGTTTCTTTATACTTTGGCAAAACAATAGAAGCTAGGCTCTTATACAGGAATGGGGATCCTACTATAACAGTTTTGCAGTTATGCAAACGTACTTGGTTTATTCATGGTGTGTTACTTAATTTCCACATTTGATGGGAGATTAGTTTCATTAAAATGTCTCAAATTACTATAGCTTTCAAGACTGAAGCGTTAAAATGCTTTCTCATAAAGAAAATAATTTTTCTTTAACAAAAGCTAGAGCACCTGTGAATTGTCTATCAGACAAAGAAGTGAAACAATGAAACAGAATAAATAAAATACCCCACAGCAGCAGCTCCCAAGCTGCCTAATTCAAGGAAAGGGTTTAAAGAATTAGTCAATGAATCACCTCCTAGTTTAAAATGAAATAAAAATAACACAGAACTGATATTACTCAATTTTAAACGAAAAAAAAAATGGATGTATTTGATTCCTTTTCATTTTGTAAAGTGATGATTGCCAGGATTTCAGATACATTCTTAAGAACTTGTGCACAAACTTTTTAATAATAATTGTGCCTTTAAAAATCAGCCTCCTAATCATCATCTTTAATTCTCATAAACCACTGGCCAGAATAAGGCACTCTCTCTGACTGCCATGTATTGTAATGCATAGCTTCATTTTCTTTTTAAAATCAGAATTGACGTCTGTTTTATACGCTATACAAATAATAATTTGACGATTACTTGCTACAGTCAGATGAGTGTACCAGGTAATGTCAATACTAATTCATCATTGTGAATTCCTTGGCTTGATTTACCCAAAGGCATTCCTTTGGTTATTGGAAGCATCTTCTTCTGAGAAAGGGAGCAGGGAAAGCTACTTGTCCTCCATGTCCTACAGTAAGGCAGTTTATTAAGTTTGATGAAATATTTTTGAGTGCAGATATTGAACTGGACCTTGGTAGAATGGACCTGAACATCTTGGGACTATGTTATTTATTAAACTACTCTTCAACCTAGGATATCAAAGCAATATGTAAGAAACATAAACCCAAAGTTCACTGGAATACAGTGCAGTAAAATAAAACCATGAAATACTTCTTTCCATTTTCTGCCTCAGGCAAGTTTAGAGACCAGTGTACCTGCAAAAAAGGAAGAATGGAAATATGCTTTCAAAATGTAAGAAACTTCAGACTTCCGGGGAAGAAATGATGAACTGAAGATGGCTCCACTAAAAGCAGAGCTGATGACTGTGGTGGAATGAAGAGCCGGTGAGTAGACCGGCTTTTTGTAATTCCTCTCTGGACAAGGGGAGGATTTGAGATCACCCACAAGTGTTCCAGACAGTTGCTCCTCATGAGGAGACTGCAAGACAGTAGTCTCTGGAGGGTTTAGAGCTCTAAGAGATGAGGGAAAGCCATCTTAGTTCAAATTGCAGTCAGAACCTTCAAAAAGACACTGGGTTCGCCTACTTCCTTTTCTAATCACTTTCAAAGATTGCTTGTTAACCGCTTTCCAGCTATGAGGAACCTTTGGATTGACATGTTTTACAGCACCGGTGAGTTTCCTTCAATCCTTAGCAAAAGAAGTTTTAAATACAAGTTTAAGGACATACATACATACATACATACATACATACATACATACATAGGAATAAACAGCAAAAGGGTGATTAGAACTTTGATTTTGGAAAGTTACAAATGGACTAAAGGGTCCAGATGGATTTGAAATAAGATTTTGAAATTAATTATAAGAATTTTCCCATGGGAAAATGCTTTTGTTTTGAAGTCTTAAAAACAAACAAACAAACAGGATGGGACTTTGAAGGTTGGACCCTAGAGGGAACCT